CAAATGATTGTTTTTATCGATCTGGCAAACATGTTTGAAGATTTTGTTTCAATAGCGTGCTTCCCTCAAAATATAGAGTTGATCCTGATCGAAATGTAGTTATCTAGATCAAATCAAAAGATGTCCAAATGTGTAGATCTTATTATCCTGAATAACTTTTACCAAGGCACCAAAGCTCTATGGGAAGCATTTTAGGAGCTATGAGATTTTGTCCGATAAGATGCATCTACCAAAGTATGGAGCTGATCTAGATCAACATTAATTAATCAAGGTGAGTTCTAAAGGTATCAAAAGATATCTCTTATATATCTGGAAAACTTTGTTGAAAATTTTGTTTTAATAGCTAGCTTCGCTCAAAACATCGATCTGATCTAGACCAAAACATAGCTATCTAGATCAAAACGAATCATGTCAAAAGATAGATACCCTGAACAACTATTACTTGAATTTTAGCAGTTATGATGTTTTGTCCGATATAATCTGACAAAAGGTCGAAAGGCAAAAGGTAGAAGGACAAAAGGTCGAATTGAACTTAGATGGACAAAAGGTCGAAGGGACTAAAGGTCGAATGGATAAAAGGTCGAATTGAACATAGCGTGACAAAAGCTCGAAGGGACTAAAGGGCTAAGTGAACTTAGAGGGGAGCAATTCCAGACAAATTCTCAAATCCATTAATTTCCATATTTTAATTAATTAAAAAAAAAATTGTGAAGTTTTTTTTTAGATTACATTTTTTTAAATAGTTCCAGAGGTTCCCTACAACATTGCTGATGGTACCAAACCGATTGGACAAACATTTTTCGAGTAACAGTATTCTGAAGATAAGCTTAACAGTTTTCTATAAGCACTTTTCAAAATTAAGGCTCGATTTGAAATAGTGATCAGATGATGCAAAATGGCATTTTTGGTCATGAGGAACGTTTCTGAACATTTTCAGATTTGCGAATTTGTCTGGAATCGCTCAGGGACGAACGGTCGAATTGATCTTAGTGGGACAAAAGGTCGGATTGAACAAAAGGTCGAATTGAACTTCCGTGATATTTCTAATACTTAAGCGGTGTCTCATAAAGTGGGCGGTACCTCAAACCCCATGACGTTTTAGGGCAAAATTATATTCTAGACACAGTTGACGCGCAAAAAGTCAAACATGGTCAAATTTTCCTGTCCCAGAAAGTCGTTTTGCACTGTGTAATTTGAAGTGATTTCTGAAGAGAGTTCCAGGGGAGAGTTCCGTGAAAAATAACAAGACTAATTTTACACGTGACGGAATCCATCTTTGACATAAAAAATGAGACGTAAACAAACAAGTTTCGTAATATTAAGTGCTCCGAGACTGAAAAGTTCTTTGCTCGATGAAAAGTACGTTTGATTGAGCTATATTTCGCATTTGTTATGACTCAAATTTCTTTCAAAATTGACGCTCGTATATGTCACTCTCAGAGCACCTAAATTTACATGATTTTTTCTAAGTTTGAGCTTATCGAATTTTGACGAAACAATTCCAAAGGAATTCTGAGAGAGGACTCTGAGGATAGTTCTCAGGGCATCAAGAGGAGAGATAATGCTGAGCAGAATTTCACGACAATTCTGAGGTGCATATCCTGAATATTTTTAAAATTTGATTAGTTTCTTTCATGATTCACGAGAGAATCTAATCAAATTTTAAAAATATTCAGGATTTTTCAGTAAATTCTTGGAAGAATAATTAAAAACCTGAAAAGAATCTTAGGATGAAATCCCGAGAAAAAAAAACGAAATTTGTGAAGGGAAATGATTCTAAAGGAAATTTTGGGGAACATTCCAAAGAAGTCCTTCAAAAAGAACAGAACGAGCTAGTTAAAACATAAATGAATGTTTAATTTTTAATTAATGACCCATTAATCCTAGTGATCTCTTTGCTTCAATCGCATTCGGTTTTATGCTTCATTTAAATGTATATCGCACAACCGGAAAAATTTCCAAAATTCTGGAAGAAAAGAACAGGGAAATTGCCAATCGAGATTTACTGGTCACCATGAACAGTGTGCTGAAGACACCAAGTTTCGGATTTGCTTCGTTTTGGAGTTATTAATTATGACCTACTAGATTGCATTCCTGGCCCACTGTGCATTGGTTGTCCCCTAAAAACCGAAGCCTGGCCAGATATTCCAGAGTGGCCAGGAAAGTTTGTTCGGAAGCTATATAATCTTGATCTTACAAAATCGTCACTCGGTATGTTTTGGTGATAAGAGATTAAGTGTTACCAAAGAGACCTCGGAGGAAGCTGTTTCGGTATTCGGGACTGGTCAATTTTTCCCATAAAAGTTTAGTGTAAATCGAAAAGGGTGATTGGATTTCGCTTGAAAAAAAAAATGTGCTTCAATTTAGTTAACCAAAATATACAGAAGAAAAACGAGTTTCGTATTGAATGTTTGTTTACAGCAGTACCACAAAAAGTCAATAAATAAATTTTCAATTTTGAAATTTTTCAGTGACAATTTCTGCTTGATTAGATGGTTGAACAGTTAAACAGTGACGCTTATATATTTAGGGTAAAAAAAACTAAAAGGGACAGCCTTATGGGGTATGACGTAGAACTACGCAGTTCGGGATCTGCAGTTCAGCGAGGTCGTAATAAAACCTCTCCTGTTGATGAGTAGTTATTTTTGAGTAGAGTTGAGGCGAACAGATCGCCGCGCGATTCAATTCAAGAATGAGCGTGTGGCGCCGGCCCTGCTCTGTTATAAAGTTGCTGCTGGTTGACTGCAGCAATGCCAAAAAACTGTATATTGAGGTCTCGGACTAGGATGCATGCTCGTGATTAATCGATTCTTTGATTTACACGATGTTTTAGTCGATGTTTGACGTTCACCATTTTAAAAAAGCTTATTGTTGTAAATCAATAGTTTTATCTATGAGCATCGATACGTAGAAAAAATTCCGATCGATTGGTGCAAAAATATTGAAAATCCATCATGAAATAGCCATGTTACAATCGTTCAAAACCTGACCACTTTTCGTTACATGTTCATTCAGAAAACACAGACGTTGTCCTACGTCAAAAATTCATCCCATCTTCGAATAGATGTCGAATTGTTCTCCGCCTGCGATAAAATCATTAAATCCCAAACAAAGTAGAACAATGCAACAATCACTGAAAATTGCAACAAAATGTACACCGTCATCAATTTACCTCTCATTACATCCGAATCAAACCGAGCACCATGTACTAATTCGCTGTCCACCGCAGAACTAAACCCTTAACGGAGGAGAACAACTCAATTATCATCGTCGTCGTCGTCGTCGTCGCGCGCGCTAGAGACACTTTGTCGAAGCAACACCATCAAGCAACTCTTCTAGCAACAACTAGCCCCGCGGTAGTTGTCGGTCGTCGGTCGCCCGCCGTAGACACACTGGAACCAATTAAAACAATTTGAACTAATTCTTCACTTTTGTTTCCTCCAATCCAATTACTTCATCTCTGTGTGTTTGCTCTTGTCTAACGAGAGAGAAAATCCTCCAATAATCGCTTCTTTGTCAGGCTTTATCTTCGCTGCCAGAATGGGCCCTCATAATACAAACATAACCTCTGCCTGCCCGCAAGTACCCACGGGATTTCGAGAAAGATTAATATTCCCTAAAATCCGTTAAATTTCAATTTTCCGTACATAATTTCCAGCCATTTAACCGTCAATTTCGCTTCCATGGTGGACTCAGCAGCTTCCAGCTTCCAACGTCGTCCGTCATCGTGTTTCCCTTTGTAGCCGTCTTGTGTTCGGGTTTATTTTTTGCATCCAACCAAGCCAAGCCAAAAGAGTTCATTCATAAAACTGACCAACCGACCAACCATCAGCAATCCGATTAACTCACGCGCCGCTTCGGATCATCTTCTGATCGTACTTCCCTTCCATCCAGAGCAGCCAAGCCAAGCAAGCGACGAACCCCACTTGAATCACCAGAAAATGATGTTGTAGAGTCCTCTAGTTGTTCTGAATGAGTGGAAAAATAATACTCTTGTTCGGACGCGAAGAAACATGAGCGATAATAAACCTTCTCCCGACAAATACACATCATCATCATCAGCAGCATCATCCAAGTAGGCACTTGATGGTCGGTGAAGAAGCAGGGGTTTTCTCTCGGTTAATAACTGGAAAAGTAGACGATGCCTGCGTTGTTGCCGATGGAGTAGATGATGCGATGATGGAATGGACCGAACAGAAGGAGAGAAGACGATGATCGGTCGCTTAGGAAGCTGCGTTCCGGGCGGACCCCAGTGGCGTGTGCAGGTCAGGGTCAGGTCTATCTCCTGATGCGTTTTTTTTAATGTCGAAAGGTGTCGAATTGTTCGCTACTTTTTTGAAAGCTTCAGTGGAGTTCAGAAAATCGATGTGCCCCCACTTTTTCCCGCACGCACGCCTCTGAACCACTCAGAGCTAGTCTTGGTCGTCGTCGTCCCGGGAACAAAAAGACAAGAACGAATCGGAATGAGAAGGAACTTGCCACCGTCCCCAGTACGACGACTCGGGGCGATGATGGTGCCACAAAGTGGGGAGGGAGGGACGAAACTTCCGGACCTGTAAACTGCCTCCAGAAAATCGTATTATGATTTACAAGGTTTTAATTTTTATTGCCCATTACCGCAAGCGGCGGTGGTGCTGTGCTCCGTACTGAACTGAACTGGCTGTTGATGAGTAGTGGATGGGAAACCGAGAAGTCGTCGGAACGTGCGAAATTTAACCTCCAATTTTTACGGCCCCTCGGCTGCCATTCGAAAATGTGCGTATGTGATTGGCTTGTTTCCTCCCGGCTCTCTTAAGAACCATTTGAGAAATGGTCCATGAAATTCGATACTGTTACACTGCTGGCAGTGAGCGTTAAGGTTAGGCACGCGCCGCGTACTTAACTCGCGGTAGGACTTCATCTCGGAACATTTAGTCGTTAAAAATTTCCGCTGTTTCAGCAGTCGAAATCGATATGAATTAGCCCGTAAATGATCGTCGTCGTTCTTTGTCTCATTACAGATGTGCCGACGCAGATGCCACCGCTGACGCCGGGAACCAACAAAAAGTTGACCGAAGTCCTGTACGCGTCCTTTGCCTCCTGGGAGAAGGTGGTGCAGTCGTACAAAATCACCAAAGGTAAGTGCTAGTCGGTATCCGTATTATCATTAGAGAAATTGCTTTTATGAAAATGTTTAACGTTTAAATTATGGAAATTATAATCGTGGCGGGATATAGCAAGCCGTTCCATAGCATAATTCTCCAAGCAGGAGGGACTTGCAATGCTAATCTAAAAGGTTAAATAGAGGTGCAGCCTGATAATGTCAGCGCTTGGTACTGAAATCTGAAATCTGTGATAGGGAAATCAATTTTTTTCCCGTCACAGAAACAAGCCGCTTTCTTATGCAAAATGATGAAAATCCAAAGAAAAACAGTATTTAGTGAACATTTTTTATTGGAGGGATTTGAAGCTAAAATGTTTTGATTAAAAGATACTCGCGATCAATTACGAAATTTCACATAAAATAGGTGCGAAATTGTACTCCCCGTTTTGTGTGTGATTTTTTTAACGTTCTAAAGAAAGCCCTACCTTAACTACTTTGAGGATTTACTCAAAATTCTTTTCATGATTTTATTAGACTATTCTCAAGCATTTCCTTAAGAATCATTGCCCTTCATAGACATTATTTCAGATTCTATCTAGGAGTCCCTAAATAGAATCTATTTATAACAGTCCAGAAATATTCTGCAGATCAATCCAAAACAGCAATAAATCGATTTAAAATAAACTTGAATTCTCTTTAGAATTCTCAAGCAATACACCTCAGAGTTATCTAGAAATTCTGTTCAGAATTATGTTGGAGTTCTCCTCTAAATTCTTCTAAAATTTTGCTACGAAATTTCCTTAAAATGCTCTAGAAATTCGTTTTGTGATGCACTTGGAATTCCCTTAAAATTATTATCAGAATTCCTTTGGAATTGTACCCGAAAAATTCGCTTTCCTTTGTATTTTTCACGGATCTTGGGATCTTCACAATTGATTTGGAATTTTACACAGAGCCGCTAAAAAATTCAACTCTGAATTTGAACTCACACAAGTGACTTGAAGTGAAAGTCCCTCTAAGAGTTCACTTTAATTTTCTCTGAAATAACTACCTGAAAATCTAAAATTCCTTCGAAACAAAAAATCTAGTCTGGTCCAGGGTCTTAATTTTTTTTTTAAATTAGAAAAATAACAAGTTTTTCCCGGTGACTTTGAATTCTCAACCTTTTCTCGGTTCACTGCCCAAGTAACAATTTTGGTTTTATGAGGGTTCTGTAGATCATGATTTGGACTTGTAGAATGCCATAAAACCTCGATAAAACCTGCAATATTACTTGGGTGGTCACCCTGCTCATCTCACACCTTCCCTATACCATCCGATCGACGCTGAACAAATGAGAGAGCGACATATATCGTCGGATTCGATTCAAAATTTACCTTTGATGCTACTTTATTTTGGATTATTTTTTTGAAAAAGCAGCAAACGCATATCTACCTATACAACTTTCAATTTTTCACGAATTTCAAAATGGGTTTTGTGGGATTAAACTTCACACAATTTGTCGTCATTCACCACCAAAATCTGAAAGCAGAAAAAATTCGACTTGGGACAGTATTGCATGATACCGATGACATATTGAAAATCGCCAGTAGATCGGACCGTTATCGGTTAGGTGTGGATTGCGCTTAATGCAATAACACTCGTTGAAGAGGTGAGTTTCCTTCCACCCCACCGCTGGTTGTCAAGGTTGGAACCTCCGATCCGCTCACCACGCCGTCCGATGCGAAAATGAGCGGAGGCGCCATAGCAGGTCTAGTTTAAAACTTTACAGATTCAAGCAGTATCAAAATTATCACTTTTTATTATTATATTTTTCGAAAGATTTTTATGATAAATTGAAAAAGTTTTCATTTCAGCAGATCCGTAGAGTTATTTCCTATCGATTGGTGTATTTGGAATTTAATTTAATCTATAAATGACAAAGTTATAAGCGTTCAAAACCTAACACCTTTTTGTGACGGTCGCTATTTTAGTTTGTTTATTTTCTCCTGTATTTTCCCGTAAGACGTAGTCGTAGTCTACGTCGAAATGATTCCTTTTCAAGAACAATATACACGGTAAAAAAATTCAAGAAATATGCATCGCGTGGCGTTTACAACGGAGTAATTCATAGATTGCATAGTGGCAATTGTCATGTATATACTTTAACGTTCTTATTATGATTGCTTAAGGAAAAAAAATGGGAGTGAACAGTTCTCCAATCAAAGTTCAGAACAGAAAAAAAGCATAACAATTACCATTGCCGGACACGCCCATCTTCTCCGTTACGGGGAAAGGAAGCATACCGTTGATCTAACATCTACAAACCGGGAGGCCAGCGACTAACCGACGCCCCCATAGATGCTACGGAGTTGGCTAGTTGGGCAGGATATGGGTTAGGATTCGCTTAAGCAGGCGATGCAACCCTAGTAATTGTTTTGTTTTTTAAGGAGTGTGGGAGTAAACCCATGATCTTCCACTCAGCTGAGCTTGAGCTTGAGCTTGATTGACCGCCCACGGTTGCTACTCTGTTACTGCCAGATCAGCTGTAATTACACAGAGAACCAATAGACGATGCTTGGGACTAGCAATCATCCTCAATGTGTAAAAACGGGTGATCTTAAATTAGGCAATACCAGCGCCGGCCGCGCCCGAACACAGGTCAAGAAAGGAATGGGAAGGATTGTGTTGGCATGACACTCGCTTTGATGGAAGCCGAGAACACCTCTGCACTTCTACGAGGAATCACTGGGATGTTGGATAAGAGGGTTGGGTTTGCAGCAGGGTTCGTTTTGGTAAACGATAAGCTGAATTGATGTCCTAACGATCATATAACGTGAAGGAGCTTGGGACTAAACCCACGGTCTTCTGCTCAGTAAGCAAAAACGTTTGCCACTAGGCAGACGAGCACCTTTTTAATCACCGAGTTGCTGTTATTACCATGTAGTCATATTAACAAATAAAACGATTGACGAATCTTGAATGTGGATGGGCCTGAGATTAGACTCATGATGTTCTGTTCAGTAAACAAAAACGGTTGCTCTAAGGCCACCGAGCCCCTCATATTACATAATACCGTTGCACAAATTTGTGTATCCATTCAAACCCGGAACCAACGACAACAACGAGTTTCGCAAAATACACGATACACAAGCGATTTTACCATAAATCTCTTTGGTATGTAAGGACCTGGGACCGCGTTTTTCTGCTCAGTAAGCAGGCCACTGTAACCGACGATCTTTCAAATCCGAAAACTAAAAACTACGGAAAAGTACATAGGCCTTCATTAAGTTCCACTTTCACGCGACGTTCAATGACAGGGTCCTATCCAGGATTACATCTGAAAAATCCAAATCTGGCCAACGCCCACCTAAACCTGTTCTAATCCACCTGAAATGACTAACGAATGGAAGACTTTGACTACCCAGCCATGCAATAGTCTCATTCCGTGCCTTATGGCAACTTGATGATTCTATTGCGCTCATCTTTTGGCACCACTCAGGGGAGACTTGGTCCTGTACCCAATGCTTAACTTATCATCATTCCACTCAGCTACTCGCAATTTCTTGTGATATAGTGGGCGGAATATTATTATATGAGACAATTCAATGCAGACGTCTTTCCAAATTTGGCAGATCGACAGGTAATCGGTGAGTTACCACGATAATTGCTATTCAACAACTCGACAACGTCCCATCGTCAACGCCTGCTATGAGAATTTCCCATTGCAGACGCCAACGAAATGACGTCATCGAGCTATCGATCAACTACCCTGGTTATCGCCTGGTACCTTATAGCACGGTGCTAGGAGGCGAACCGGAAGAATCGATGAGCTACCTCTCCCCCTAAACCCATGATCCTCCACTCGGTAATCAAAAGTGGCAGCCACCAACCTAGCCGACCTCCTCTATTTAAATGTTTGGACCTTAAATCGATCTCTCCCTAACTTGGTGGAAATGCAGGCTACTTCGACCCATACAAATTTCAATAATTTACCTCTACAACTCGATGGTCCCTTCAATATCAAGTTATAGGGAGGCAACTTCCTGAGACAAGGTGTGCGAAATTCAGGAATCAGAACACATGTTCTACTAGCTAAGTTCTGAGATATTCCGAAGCAAAGTTTTGGCATCTCCTCAAAGCTAGTGCTACGAACTTTCGGCAGACAAGTTCTGCAATGTTCCAGATCAAATAACCGCAATAACTTTCGAAGGCAAATTCTAGGCACTGTATTGATCAAATTGGTGAATCTTCTGAAGGCAAGTTCTGTAAATTTTTGGATCTGTTAGGATGTGGGAACTATCGAAGGCAGATTCTACGAGCACCAAGAGACAAGTCCACGAGCAACTTCCAACGAAAATTTCTACAAACTTCTTCAGACAAGATCTGCGAACTTCTGCGAAGCAAATTCGGGGGTAAGTTCTAAGAAACCTTCGAAGCATCATTCCGAGACTCTTCGCAAGATAATTTTGAAATGTCCTCAAGGCAAGTTCTACGAACTTCGAGGAGCAGCTTAGGAGTCAGGTACTGTAAGCTTACGGAGGTAAGTTCGAAAAACATTCGGGAGCGAGTTCTAATAGAGTTTTTCACGACTCACCAGTGCACAGTGTGGAAATGTTGACCCAAAATTCCACATTATTAACCACCTAATGATAGGAGTTTTACATAAGCTCATCTTGTGCAGACCTCAGGAAATGGTCCATTCAGCCCGATTTCCCCTCAAACTTTAAAACTATATAAATCTAACGGGAAATTTAATTGCAATATACTACAGCCTTACACTACAGCCAAGCCCCGCGATCTTACGGAGAAAGATTTTAGGATCTCCTGGAGCTAACCCTAGTTGCACGCTAGTCTAAAATCGATTGTAGAAACATCTATATTACTCATTTCAGTCATAAGCAAGTTTGTGCAACTCTCCTTAATGGAAGTGTAATATTCGGGAAGTTCTCCGAACTTCGGCACAGAAATTCTGCAGATTCAAATACTACAAACTGCCGGAGATAATTTCTAGAGCTTACCTCCGGAATATTTTTCCAGGATCCTCTCAGACCA